TGATTAATAACTCCTGAGTATTGTTATGCTAAATGTTATTGATATGAAAATGAGTCAAGAACAAATCTCATGCGAGCTTTAGGAAATAATAGATAATTTAGACTTCATAAATAGCATAGTACTAAAGAGTGATAACGAAGAGTTGGCAATGAATTAGTCATTGTTCTGCCTCTCTATATATGCACACCTTATATGTGGAGAGCCCGTGTACTTATGCATATGTACCCCTGAGATATCCTTCTACAGAAGTATGTTTGTTACTTCTGTCTTCCCGGAAACATCTTAAGACTTGCTTGTACCATTTTTTCTCTGTCTTTTTCCTTAGTGTATGTTGATAAATATTTGCCCTGACTCCAACGTTAGTATATTGAAATCAGTAACTATAATGACACTTCTGTTTCTCTCCAGGTGTGATATGCTGTTCTTTACATTTTGGGTTCATTGGAAATTGTGTCTTTCATTTCTGAATTCATGAATGAATATGTGCATGGAATTGCAACACATTTGATGTGTACTGTACTTTCATAGGGTGTAGATCATATCCGCAGGAATGAACAGCAAGAGGAACAGATGTGTCTGTCTGTCCCTTGAGATAACCCTTGTATTTCAGGGTTAGAATTTTACTGTCCAGTTGAATAGTTAGTCCACCACTTAGCTAACATTATGTTTGCTCACTACGAGCACTGCCATTACAGACTTTCCAAAACCATGATGGGAATACCTCAGTTCTCTGGGCTTTCATAGCACTCATTATCTCCATAGTTGATACTTCATCATCTACTGCTTCAAATGATATAGTAGAGGATGAACTCTTTCTTGTATATTTTGTGTATCCAATAAAACCATAAGCAACTTAAATCAAAACCATTACTGGTGTTTATATGTACACGGAAGAGTATTACAGTGCCCAACTTGATGTGTGCTTTAGAATAATTATGTACGGAATGAGTGAAGAGATGAACGCCTATAGTTTTTAACACTCTAACCCATAGTATGGTTTTATAGCCTCTTTTGACAAATGGCACACTTGTTTATTTTATTAGACACTACGTTAAAAACAAAAAGTGTAATTTATCTTCTGATTCAATCAATCATATGGTGGTTGAGTAACATGCTCCATGAGATTAGGAACATGATCTATTTTGTTCTTTGCTACATACCTAGTACCTGACAGTGCATAGTACAAGAGAAGTGTCTTATGAATATATATTGGGTTAATGAATAATGTGTCAGGTAAGGATACTTTCCAGTTCTCCCTCCAGTAAGAGAGCATGTAAGATTATGAGTTTGATTTAGATAACATTTTATTTGATACCTAGAAGCTTATTTATGTTGCCAAATCCTGGCAATTTCTGATATTTTGAAGAAGTACACATTGACCATGCACTGGTTATAATTACTGATTGCAAATTCTTTTTTCCTTGGACAACAAAGGTCTCTAGTTAAATGAAATGGATAAAACAAGAGGATCATAGGAGAAGGGAGGGAAAAATAAAATAAGATGAAATCAGAGAGGGAGATAAACTGTAAGAGACTCTCAACTATCGGAAACAAATTGAGGGCTGCTGGAGGGGAGATAGGTTGGGGATGGGGTAACTGGGTGTTGGGGATTAGGGAAGGCATGTGATATAAGGAGGCCTGGGTGCTATATGCACTGAAATCTATCTCTGAAACTAATAATACACTACATGTTAATTAATTGAATTAAAATAAAATAAAATATAAAAAAAACTTTAAAGCTATTTTTGGAACTCCTTAATCCATTTATTTTACTAACACTCAAATAAGGATGTGTGTGTGTATGTGTGTGTGTGTGTGTATGTGTGTGTGTATAACTTTAGTTTGGAATATAAGACTGTAAGTAGGCAAACTACTTCAAAGAATACTTTAAAAAAAAGATATTATTTATTTATTTGAGAGAGTGAATGAGGGAAAGCACAGAGGGAGAATGAGAGAGAGAAGCAGACCCCTCGATGAGCAGGGAGCCTTAAGTGGGACTCTATCCCAGGACCCTGGAATCATGACCTGAGCTGAAGACAGATGCTTAACTAACTGAGCCACTCAGGCACCCTTCAAAAAATACTTTTAACGGGGCGCCTGGGTGGCTCAGTGGGTTAAAGCCTCTGCCTTTGGCTCAGGTCATGATCCCATGGTCCTGGGATTGAGCCCCACATTGGGCTCTCTGCTCAGTGGGGAGCCTGCTTCCTCCTCTCTCTCTCTGCCTGCCTCTCTGCCTGCCTCTCTGCCTACTTGTGATCTCTGTCTGTCAAAGAAATAAATAAAATCTTTAAAAAAAATACCTTTAACATTTTTTTAAATAAATTTGACATAGAGGTAAATATTTTCAGCTTTTAGATCCTTTTTATCACCTTTTAAATCAAGAATATGGTATTGCACACTTGCTGGTTAATACTACCTTAAAAATATTGGCTTTCTTTTAGCATAGAATATATATAGTCTTTTTCTCTATTTCTGGAAATACAGTGATTTTAATTTATTACTCTCCAGCTGTTCTCTCTTAAATATCACATTGGTATTATGGCCATTTCTCGTAAGATTTTGCTTTAACATTTTCTTTCTTCCTTCTTTTTTTTTTTTTTTTATCCCTTTAAGACCATAGTGGAAATTGGGGAATTAGTGGGAGGATCTTGGAAATTTTCAGAGTTCACCTAAAGTGAGATTCAAAAATCCCTAAAATGTAATCATAGCCTTTGATATCATGGGAAATGTTAAGAAAATGACTATATAGCTAGGTTTATTATTATACATTCCTAAAACTTAGTGAGCCTGTCTTTATCTTTCAAAAGACTTCCAAATTGTGATTCCATAATGCTAGATTAGCCCAAATGGCACTTTATTTTAAATTTTCTGTATTTACACAGACTTGGTTCCAAATATCCATCATTCCCAGTTCAACTAAAAAAATGACTTTCTTGGGAATTGATTTTTTTTTCATTTTATTATCAGTACTTTATTAAAGACAAAAAGGAGATGTGATATTTTAAAGATAGAAATGAACTTGTTCTTTCATATAAAATTCACTCTCATCTCTATAACAAGAGAAGCTAGTTGATTCCTTTATTAACTTTTTAATTTAAAAGACTATCTCTTTTATTAAAGGGCTTAAGGAAAAATCAAAATCGTCGATTTGTGGATTTTGGGCATATATACTCCACTCATCTGAAAGCTTTGTTATATAATTTTTATCTAGCTGTAATACCATCCAATAGTAAAGTATGTGACCGGAGCTGATAAAGATGGTATGTCTTAGACAAGCCTAGACTAATAAGGCAATATAGGACACTTTTGAGAAATTTTTTACTGCTGCTGAACCTAAAGCAATAATATTGGTAATTAGATTGCATGGCACACGTTTCTTTTCTTTTTTTCTACAGTTAACAAATTTAATATCCAAATGTAAAGACCAATTTTGGGGACAGCTTATTTTAATCTACTATTTTATTGTATTGCATCTGTGAAAGAGAAAGGAAAGTGATTTCAACCTTGCTTAGACAACTGTTTTGAAATATAATGGGGGCAGCAGGAAACTGGTTCATTTTATGGTTCATGTTACCTGTAATTATACATGAAGAAGCAAAATCATAGCTCCCAACATGTTCACATAGCAAATCAATCATTGAGCAGAAACTGATAAAACATAAGCCACTTGTTTTAATTGTTAAGTCATTTCTCAGAGACTGATTGGACATAGTACATCTTTATATTACACTTAAGGAACAATATTCATATTTAGTTTGATTGCATTTGGGCTAGATCTACATGCTTAACTAAAAAAAAAAATGATTCTTATATGGTTTTCACTGTGAGTTGAGTGTTTTTGTATGTTTCGTTTTTGGTTTTGGTTTTGGTTTTTCATTCGGATTGTCAAATCCTGGACCTACCTACACAGGAATCCAGTTAGCACAAATTCAAAAACACTTCCCATTCAGTTGCCTTGCCATGGAGGTGTATCTTAGTTCTTACTGACTGTTCCGACTGGGAAAGCTATTTAACTTTCAGCTGCCAAGGGTATTTTAATTTCTTTATATTGTTTTTATTATGTAATACATCATATATAAAGGACTAGCTGTGTCACAAAAATTGGACATCTACAGCAGTGAAGTCTTACTGTAGAATTCATGTGTTGTGATCTTAGTTTTCTATATTGAAAGAAGTTTACTTAAGATATATTTTATGTTGGTGATATTTTTAATGAGAAGATACTGACTAGACTCCAATCACATTATGAAATTAAAAAAATAAAAAATTGAATAAGTAGAAAAACATGATTTTTCCAAATATTTTAGCCCATTGTTATTCACTGACAGATAAGTGATGATAAAAAATAAAGACAAGCAGTCCCAGAGAAATTTAATGATTAGAGTGAAAAATTTAAACATAACTAGAACCTTAATTAAGGAATTTGCCATTCATTCTTCCCTATGATAAACATCCATCTTTAGTCAATTTAAATTTGAACATACATGCAGGTGGTTCACATCATTGGCCAATTCCAAATGGGTGAAAATGTCTTATGAGTAAGCCTTTTGTATTCTGAGAAATGTACCTTCATGAAGATACTAAAAATATAACTAATTACACTGAATTATTATAAATAAAGTTTGGATAAATTATTTAAGTAATGAATTAATTCTGCATGTACTATAAAGATAAAAACTAAAATATTACGGAAAAGTATTTTAGAAAAGAGCTATAGTTAAGAGACCAGTAGTTTTGGAAAGGAAGAATATATAGGGTACTTTTTCCTTTGTGAAGTAAAGTTTTTAACTACAGCTTAATACATTCTGTGTAAGCTGTACATATGTATTGCACATAAGGAGTAATGATTTCATTTTTTTCCTAATTTTTACAGTACGATGATGTAGACTGGGTATCTGAAGAACAACATCAAACATAATTATACATTAAGAAGCAAAAACATAATTTTAAATAATTTCAACTTTATTTTTGTTATTTGTCCTCATATGTTGATTTTTCAGGTCTGGCTGTGGATCATTTTAGTGAGCGAATATACTGGGCTGACCTTGAGCTTTCTATTATTGGCAGTGTTCTGTATGATGGCTCTGATTCAGTAATCTCTGTCAGTAGCAAACAAGGTTTGTGAAGCACTTTTGTTTCATCTTTTAATTATTATCGGGAGTGTTAAATAATGGTACATAAGTATAAATACAAAAGCTTTGCATTCTAAACTTCCTCAAATTCTTTTTCCTTACAACTTGTTGCTCTTACTAGAGATCATAATTTTTATTCCTACTAGAATAACGAGAGGCCAGGCCAGAATTTCCTTAGCATAGGACAATCACGGCCCATTGCTGCCCATTTTCAGAAAATATTCATTCTGTTTCTTCTGTAGATACTACATTCTGAGGTAAACACTTTAAGTAGTCAAGATTAGAGCCTTTGAGCACAAGTTTTTACTTCAAATTGCAGTGATAGCAGGCAGAAATGAATTATTGCGTATAATAAAACATCATTGTAACAATTGTACATCCCAATGAAAAGCAGTGTGTAAAATTAACTTACCTCTACCTTCAGTGAGTACAGAATCTACTTGTGCTTTTCCTCTGTAGTACCCTTTTGTATCCCTGCCTCTATGCCTACCTCCTGTTTTTTATTCTCATTCTCGACTGTCTGTGCTGCACACTTGCCTTGCCTGGCAACCTCAGTTCTTTCTGCTGAAACTAATTTCTTTCCCTTCTGTTTTTCTTGCCCCTCCCTACAACAACATCTTCATTTATTTACCACAAATTGTTTATAATATGTACTTGAAGTTTTTATATTTACATATTATATGTACTGAATATAGCTTTGCTTTTCATTTTTTTTTTAACAGAAGCAGAGGAGTTGAAAAAAAATAAATAAAGTGAACTTTCATTGTGCCTTTGCCCAAAGTGTGTTTTTTGTATGATGACTCTAGATGGCAAAAAAAAAAAAAAAGGAAAGAAAGAAAAAAAATTACACATTGCTATAACTGATCACTGTAAAGTTAACCTGTTTCAGCTTAAGTGCACTGAAGAATCATATATTTTTTAAAAAGCACTTTATGTTTTACGACCTCTAGATAACAACTAAACTATAAATGTCATTTTGCATGTTATACATTTCAGTATCAAAGGTTAGATTAATTATTCCTATCATAAAAATCTCTTAAGTCATTTCTTAAAACGTACAAAATGATAGCCTCTCTTATTGTTAGCCAAACTAGTCATATGCATCATTACCATTTGCTAGTTTGTTTTCTTTAACCCATTTCTAAAACAGACAATGGTAATGTCTTTTTTTCTCTACTTTTGGTCAGTCAGGCCATCTAATTTGTTCATTAATTTGATCTAGAACACAAATTCAGAATTTTGTGAACTGTCTTTCTGTATGCAATGGATAAGGCTGGCCTATAGCTTTTCTTTTGTCTGCAAACTATACAGCATATCACTCTGCATACAGTAAACCCCCAGCAAATGCTTTGTGATGGTGCAGATGGTTAAAGTGATGATGGAAATGTTTTTCATGTTGTGAGTGATATGTTTAGGATTTCACATATTCCTACTGCAAAGAAATTAATTCTAACAACTTTACAGCTAATATTAAAATATTACAATTCTGAAAGTTTTTTTTTAAACAACAGTAGTAAAATTTTCTACAGGATCTTGAATAAACTTGGTTTTAAGTCCGAGCACTTATTTACAATGCAACTTTTATAACTCCACCTTTTAAAAATTCTAGGTTTGTTACATCCACACAGGATTGATGTCTTTGAAGATTATATATATGGAGCAGGACCTAAAAACGGTGTATTTCGAGTACAAAAATTTGGCCATGGTTCAGTAGAATACCTACCTTTAGATATTGATAAAACAAAAGGTGTTTTGATATCTCATCGCTATAAACAACTAGACTGTAAGTATATTTTTTATTGTTTTTGACAAAAGACAGTATCTTAAAATATTTAACTATTTCAGTATCTTAATCCTTTGAGTTAAGTAACTTTAATGTTGATATTATAAGATTTTTTAATCACCAAAGTCAAGATGTAAATCATACAAAATTTTATTTTGCATTTGATTGTGTTTCCTTCGCTATAAAAAAAAAATGTACCATTCTGTTTTTCAATAAAACCTCTGACTTTATACATTAACCATGCAGGTATTGAAATTCATCATTAGCCATTTTGACTCTTGTTACTGTTAATAAGGAACAATCATAGCATCAACATTCCATCTTTAAAAGCAACTGAGGAGGGGGTGCCTGGGTGGGTCAGTCGTTAAGCATCTGCCTTTGGCTTGGGTCATGATCCAAGCATCCTGGGATCCAGCCCCAAATCGAGCCCCACATGGAGTCCTACATTGGGCTCCCAGCTCAGGGGGAAGCCTTCTTCTCCCTCTACTGCTTCCCCTGTTTGTATTCCCTCTCTGTCTCTCTCTGTCAAATAATAAATAGACAAAATGTTAAAAAAATAATTAAATAAATAAATGAATAAATAAACACAACTGAGGAGTGCTGTTTTCAAGGGTTATATTTTCTCTGATTGTTTATGATTTTTATTGTACTTTCATTCTAGAAAGGAATAAATCATTGACGCAATTATCTTGAAAAACCGGTTTCAAACACAATTATCAAAAATATTGAAGAATAAAATAAAAAATAATGTGACTGAAATTCTAATGATCTGTCTTTATGTATGAGTTTAAACTTCAAGAAACTTTAAGATTTATTGATAAATTTTTGCTGCAAATAAAAAGAAACTTAACCCCATTTGGTGAAATTGTATGGAAAGGTAACAATTGATATTTGTCCAAATCAGTTTTGGAAACAGATTAAAACAAAAGATAGTCCCCTAAGAACTTCCTGAAATCCTACCCAAACTTTTGTTGCTCTTTACCAATGATCTGACATTTTTAGTTCCAGGGTTAGTATGAGGACATGGTATCATCCTCTAGTTGTCTTTCATTCTTTTCCTTTTCCTCTTTCTTTCTTTTTTCTTTTTTTTTTTTTTTTTAAGATTTTATTTATTTATTTGACAAAGAGAGAAGGAGAGCACAATAAGGGAGAGTGGGAGAGGGAGAAGTAGGCTTCCTGCTTCTTCATCGAGCAGGGAGCCCGATGTGGGGCTCTATCCCAGGACCCCGAGATCATGATCTGAATTGAAGGTAGCTGCTTAACTAACTGAGCCACACAGGTGCCTCTGATTCTTTTTCAGAGTCAAATATTACTACCTTCATAAAAACTACATAAATAAATAAGACTTTGCCCTGGATAGAATAGGTATTTGAGTAATGGTTTTAACTGAGTCAAAGCCATTCTCACAGTCATCATTTCACTAGCTAGGTGTTATTTATGTTTCATTCTAATGACAGAGTCTCTAAGGAGAGCCATAGAGCAGTTATGACTGCAGAGGATGCTAATTGGATAGAAATTTAGACAAAAATAAATGTGGCAGACATTTACATGTACACAAACTGCAACCTGATGGAAAAGAAACCATGTTAAACCTGGTATTTTTAGAGAGAAAGAATCCTCTCTTGTTTGTGTTTTGAACGAATACAGATGAATTTTAATCCTTTGTAAATACAAGGGGGAAGTTGTTTCTGTCTGTTCAACAGTTCTGAAACTGCCTAAAATGAGGAGTAGGTCCCCCAAACTCTTCAGTTGGCTTTACTTTTTTTTTTTTTTTTTTAACATAAACCCAAACTCTACCTGGGTATCTCAGACAACTCTTTTAGCAAAAATAAGTCAGATGGAAGAATGACAAAATATATGTTTGAATAATTCCTTCTCTCTTGTGGGAAGTGTAAATCAGGGTAAATTACCTGTTAATGATGGGTAATGGATAAGAATTTCTCTTACCTATAAAGGAGAATGGTAATACTGAAATAACATATACCCAGTGGCGATTGTTATGATTTCAACATTGCTAATGTATCCTCTCACCTTGTTGAATTTTATGTTTCTGAAAACTGCTGTACTTACAGTCATGCGTTTCTTTGTTTTCTTTGTTTTAATCAGTGCCCAATCCATGCTTGGACTTAGTATGTGAATTCCTGTGTTTGCTGAATCCCTTTGGAGCTACCTGTGTGTGCCCAGAAGGCAAATATTTGGTTAATGGTACTTGCAATGATGACAGCCTACTAGGTAGGTAAATGTCATTATTCTGTAAAGAATTAATTTTTATGATAAATTTTCACACCTCTTGAAACTGAACAGAATTAGCTACTCAATCTTCAATATAGTAGCCTTGATATCATTGGTTTTTGAATGCCTGCATAAACTACTCTCCCTGGTGATGACTTCCTAACAATTCATTCTATAGTCACAGAGCTGCACTGAGAACTTACTATTCATTTAAGACTAGATTAAGAACTTTGAAGTCATACACCAAATCAAGATAATTTTATATAGCTCTTTATCAGTGAAAATAACGATATTTCTAAGGACACCATTTCCTTATAAATTTAAACCCAACCTTAAAATCCCTTATTCATTCATCAAGTTCATGATGAACAACTTTCTTGCACCAAATGCTAATTTAGAAACTGACGATAAGAAACTAAATTGTACTTTCTTCTGCATAAAATTTGATTCACAATACATACTACTACCAACATGAATAAATATTTTGAGGGCTTATGAGAAAAGCGTAGCAGTAATTTAGAAACGAAGGACTAATTTAGAAACAAAACTGACAAGATTTCTTTATTCTTAGAGCTTATATTTTAGAAGTACATTAACATTGAAACAAACATTAAAAAAAGTAAAACAGTATTTCAGATGTTTATTATAAGTATTAAGTAGCAAAAAGTCACAAAATAAAATAACAAAAATTAAAAAAAATAGTACAAGGAGAAAAGAGAAAAAGGAGACATTTCTCAATTAGCCAGGTAGACTGATGAGAAGTTCCCTCATAATCAAGACACTAACTATAATGGAAAGACAAATTACTATTAAGCGAAAAGAAAATCCACACTTACTAAATTTTATGACACAAAAACACAGTGCTCTAAAATCCCTTGAGGATCACATTTTTTCCAGTGTGATACACTTAGGATCTCTTCATAGCAAGACTTCCTACCTGCAGTATTTTTCTCTGTTAGAATGAACACCTCACATGAAGACCATGTCTTTGCCATCATTCAGCATCTCCACCCCCATATCATTTTCTCATTGTTCTCTACTGGGAGTTACAGGTAATCTGAAGACTTTTACCTTCCAAGGCTCTAGGTGTCTAAAACTACCATAGCTCCCTCATTTAATATATATTCTTTAAGCATTGGATATGCAAGGCAGAAAAGGCTGCAAAGATGATATGATGAATGACATAAAAACCAATAGATATTCATGTGCATAGTGATACATACGAGAAGAAACAGGGTTAACACTACTAGCAGAATTCAGGCGATCATCCAATTAGAGAATTGATTACAATTTTCTATAGAATATGACCCTAGGACAAGGTCTGCCAAGACAGAGGGGATTCAGATTAAGTGAGAATGAGGGATCAGAACATGAGACAGAGGAACTGAAAAGGCACGAAAGTAACGCATGTAAAGAAAATAGTGAGTCATTTATTTTAGTTAGTCTCTAACACGTCTGAAACAGTGTTGTGGGTGACAAGGTTAGAAATTTCTTAACAGAGAGCTAATTGTGAATCATGATTGGTATTTTGGATGAGTCCTTTAGTGCCAGTTCTTGAAAAGGGAGCTGTCACTGGTACTAGACAGTACCCTTTCTCTTTATTGATTATCTTTCTTGTGAGAGTGGCTGTGATTTCCGCTGTGATGATCAAATGGGAGAATTAAATGGACATTTTCAAATGTTATTAGGCACATTTTTCACTAGCTGCTCTGACATGCTCATGTAGGTGAGCTATGTGTGGCCGCATATTCTCCTTAGCCTCTCAGAAACAGGTTGTTTAAAATAGCAGTCTTTCCCTGTAGAAGATGTACCACATTTTTATTAGTTCCACACACACTCATAGCCCATGATCAGTGATCTCCACAGGTGCGCCCCCACCCTGCCCCTATGTACTGTGTCTACTTATACTATTGGTAGTGCGGGAGAGACCCCTGAGACAGAGATGAAGATTCTGCACAGAAGTTGTCTACTAATGCCACCAGTGTGACTTTTCCATTGACTCAGATGTCAGTGATGTTTTTATGGTCAAGTTGCCTACAGTTTTTGTTGTTTTTTCATTACAACTAGACATTAATATCCTTTTTTTCTTCTTTCTTAGTATAAATTATGTATCTAAAACCCAGATGTATTTATCCAATAATCCAGCAAATACACAGAAGTTGGCCTGGGGTGGATCTGAGGCAGAGCTTTGGTGTAGGCCAAGATCTATCAGTTAACTAATGTGTTTGGCCCTGTCATCCCTTAGTCTAGTTTCTTTTGCATAATATTAGATTAACAATAAATATTACTACTACTTGTAATAATAACAAATATTTTGAAGGCTTATGAACAAGGCATAATTTAAGTATATGTATATTATTATATTTAATTCCCTCAAATCCCCAAAGATAGTATGGTCATTGCCCCTGTTTTTACAGATAGAAAATAGAAGCATGGAGAGGCTCAGCTGATGGTCTAACATTGCTTAATAATGGTGGTCCCCCAAGGTGAACCTAGGCATTCTCCACTCTTCACCAGCACATAGTCCACTTCAGTGCCTCTATAGCTCCCGAATGACCCTTATGCAGAGTCACTGGAAAGACCAGAAATGACATATATAAACTGCCTAGCACAATGCTTTATAAAAAGTAGACACACAGCGCTCTAAGATAAATCTATCATTAAGTAAGTAAGAAAATGAAATAGGTTTTTGGTGTATTAATTCATCAAATTTTATAGTTTTATGTTTGGAATGAGAAAACATGTTTGTCTAAATGTACACTTATCCAAGATCTAAAACTTTTTTTGTTTTAAATTCAATTAGCTAACATATAGTACATCATTAGTTTTTGATATAATGTTCCATGATACATTAGTTGCATATAACTCCTAGTGCACATCACATCATGTGCCCTCCTTAAACTTTGTAGGAAATTTCAGTTTTACTATTTCAGATTTGATTGAAAGGCACGATTACAGAAACCTCCTAAAAGTTCTTTTTGTAATTTAAAATAAATCTTATATTTTAAATAATCAGAGTGTTAAAAAATATTCACATTGGCCTCTATGCATATGACCCTTGGTAGCAGACAGTTTAGACCACCTCGGTGAGGAATATAAGTAAATAGATTGCAGAATTATTGATTGGTGTAGATAAATGCCAATTAATTTTTTCCTGACATTAACATTTGATATAGCCAAGTTTTTCTGCCCTTTATAATTACTTGCCTTTCTCTAGCTGCTATTGTTAAATGATGAGACACTGAATATTTTTAATCTTCATGGAAGAAATTTGAAATTCAAATGTTACTCATTCTTGGAAAGGTATTCACCTGCTCTTTCCTATAGTTGATTATAATTGCTGGAGCTTGGCTTCTGGGGGTGATTTAGTTATTGACAAATGCAGCCTTCTTTTTCATTATAGAACTATTACAGTTAGGTTTTGAAACTCCACTTCTATTTCATCAAGCAGTGTTATATTTTAAAATTTCTAGAGCCTAATGAGGCACGTTATAGAAATGCACATGTCCTAACATGTAGAGATTTTGAATATCCATGTAGTTTACAGAGAATATTTACAGAAGAAAATTGACTCCCCCACAATAATCTTAACTATGATCATAATGCCTTAAATATTTATCTTCTCAGTTTACATTCACAACTCCAGTCAGGGATATTCTATGCTGAATGAATTAGAAATGTTTGGTTGAATTTTAAACCAAGGAAGTGTATATTTCCATTCTAGATCTTTCTTGAGGATTCAACCTCTGTATTCAACTCTTTGCTTTACAAAGAGGCAATTTCTGGTACTGCTCATAAGTAGTCTCTATTTATTATAGTAGATGTGATATTTGAGTCATTTTTGTTTTCTATTTGAAGGCACTAAGGCTCTTTAAAGTGCTCTTGTGATTCTTGCAGTGATATATTAACACTTCTGCTATGTGTGGGCCAATGGATCTTGAACAAAGAATACAGGCTGTTTTGATTTTACCTTACTTTGCTATAAAAGAGGCGTGTCTTTAGTAGAAGGCATTTTCTAGAACAGAATGCTTCTCACAGTACTCTCAATCATTTGTGTTCAATTGGGCATCATGTCCTCCCCTAAGTAAAGCAGTATTTCTAATGGAGTAAGACCGTGTTAACGGTAACCTGAAAAAATTATTCCAAACTAATTCTTATCATAAATAAGACTCATCATATTTTTAAAAATAATTTTGTAACCCCAAGGAATAACCATCTTTTTCTTATCCTCAGCCACAATATATTAAGTAGACAGATGGTACCTAGTCATTTTCCATATGGAAATTTTACATATGGAAAATTTCTGACACTATTTTATCAATATCTTGTACCAAACCTATGTGACTTTTAGTTTTGAGTTGTTTATACATAGTTAATAAGGATGTATATCAAAGAATGTATTTTCATTTAAATATTTTTCTATACTATAAATTATATGTGTTATATGTGTGTATATATATATATATAGATATATATCTAGTATATATCCATATTCATTGAATATTCCATATCTAATATGTATACTATATATATACTTTATATGTATATATCCTACACACTATAAATTTATCTTATGTATTTCAGTTTGGTTTAATATCAAACAGTCCTAAAAATAGGCCATATTTGCTTATATCATAAAGAAAATGTATTGATTGGAAAATATTTCATTTTTAGGAAGTTTCAGTTGGTTTTGTTATGTAATGTTTTAATAAATACAAGAAATGGTTAATAACTCTTTAAGCCTAAGGAAGAATAAAAATTAAGTCAGTATTTGTATTCACCATTTAACAGTGGTTAAAATCTACTTCTCTATTTTCAGATAGTACTTATAGTATTTTGCTTCTTCTACTTTTATATTAGAGGTATTTATTTGGGGAATTTTATAAAAAATTTGAATATTTAATTTTTATATATGTGAGTTCTTATTCTACCATCTAATGAAAAGCATGCTAATTTGTACATTCCTTCTTATAACCAGATGATTCATGCAAATTGACTTGTGAAAATGGAGGAAGATGCATTTTAAATGAGAAGGGTGACTTGAGGTGTCACTGTTGGCCTAGTTACTCAGGAGACAGATGTGAAGTCAATCACTGTAGCAACTACTGCCAAAATGGAGGAACCTGTATACCCTCAGCTCTGGGTAAATATTTGAATTTCATTGTGCATTCAAATAATTTGCCTTTTTCCTTACATGTGAAAATATAAAGAGGATACTTAATGTTAGAAATTTAATTCATGGTGTTTTTATAAAAATAGATTAACACAAATTACATTTAATTATTAATTCAACATAATAGTATTTATTCTAAATTTGGTATATTGAAGTTCAAGTCACAAAATGTAACAATAGTAATGCTCATTATCGTGAGATAAGTCTGCACCATGTAACAGGGGTCAGTGCTTACAGGTATTCTGATGCTGGCTTAGAATGATTAAGTAAAGGGGCACCTGGGTGACTCAGTGGGTTAAGCCTCTGCCTTCAGCTCAGGTCATGGTCTCAGGGGCCTGGGATAGAGGCCCATGTCGGGCTCACTGCTCAGCAGAGAGCCTGCTTCCCCCTCTCTTTTTGCCTGCCTCTCTGCCTACTTGTGATCTCTGTCTGTCAAGTAAATAAATAAAATCTTAAAAAAAAAGAATGATTAAGTAAAATCAGTTCTATAAGCTTTATATGTTTGATTCCAAAATCTTTTTTTATTTTTTAAATTTTATTTTGACATTTCAGGGTAAAGCGTTTTTAAAAATATTTATCTAAATTTCAGTTAGTTAACATTCAGGTGTACAATATAGTGATTCAGCACCTCCATATAATACCCAGTGCTTATCACAAGTGCTCTCCTTAATCCCCATCATTAACCAATTAACCATTAACCAATCCTTTCCTGCCTACCTCCCGGCTGGTGACTATCAGTTTGTTCTCTTATAGTTGAGAGTCTGTTTCTTGGCTTGCCTCTCTTTCTCTCCTTTTTCCCTTTTTCTCATTTGTTTTGTTTCTTAAATTCCACAAATAGAATCATATGGTGTATGTTTTGACTGACTTATTTTGCTTAGTGAAATACTCTCTGGCTCCATCCAAGCTGTAGCAAATGACAAGATTTTGTTCTTTTTTATAGCTTAGTTATATTCCATTGTATTTATATACCACTATTTCTTTGATCTGGGCTATTTCTGCAATTTGGTTCTTTTGGTTTTTTTTTTTTAAGATTTTATTTATTTGACAGAGAGAGATCACAAGTAGGCAGAAAGGCAGACAGAGAGAGAGGGGAGGAAGCAGGCTCTCTGCTGAGCAGTGAGCCCGACATGGGCCTCTATCCCAGGCCCCTGAGACCATGACCTGAGCTGAAGGCAGAGGCTTAACCACCGAGCCCCCCAGGCGCCCCCGTAATTTGGTTCTTAATAGATAATGCTGCAATAACATTGGGGTGCATCTATCCCCTTAAATTAGTATTTTGTATTCTTTGGGTAAATACCTCATAGTCAAACTGCTGGATCATAGGGTAGTTCTTTTTTTAACTTTCTGAGGAATCTCCATACCGTTTTCTAGAGTGGCTGCACCCGTTTGCACTCCCAACAGTGCAGGAGGGTTCCCTTTTCTCCTCATTCTCAACAACACCTGCTGTTTCTTATGTGGTTGATTTCAGCCATTCTGACAGGTGTGAGGTGATATTGTAGTTTTGATTTGCATTTTTCTGATGATCAGTGATGTTGAGCATATTCTTATGTGTCTGTTGGCCATCTGTATATCTTCTTTGGAAACGTGTCTATCCACGTCTTCACATTTTTAAATTGAATTATTATTTTTTGGATGTTGAGTTTTATAAGTTCTTTATATAGTTTGGATACTAACTCTTTCTCAGATATGTCATTTGCAAATATCTTCTCCCATTCCGTAGGTTTACTTTTAGTTTTGTTGATTGTTTCCTTCACTGTGCAGAAGCTTTTAATTTTGATAAACTCCCAACAGTTTATTTTTGCCTTTGTTTCCCCTGTCTCAGGAGACTTATCTAGAAAGAAGTTGCTTTGGTCAATGTCAAATAGGTCATTGTGTATGTTCCCCTCTAGGATTTTTATGGATTCCTGTCTCACATTTAGGTCTTTAATCCATTTTGAATTTATTTTTGTGTATGGTATAAGAAAGTGGTCCAGTTTCATTCCTTTGTATGTTCCTTTTTAACTGAACAGTTAGCCTAATGCTAAACCTCATTTTCTATTGAAAATTAAATTAAATTAGGTTAAATTTAAAATTTAAGTTAAATATAAATACACTCTATCAGTACGTCTGATAGCATCATAATTCATATCTAAAATCATAACTACTTTATTGGCATTGTAATCTAGTGTATAATATGCTTTGAAAATATCAGGTTAGTACATGTTAAGGTATACTTGAAATTCTTATTAATTTATGCAATAGCTCTGTTTGCAAAAAGTGTTTGCTACAGTATATAAGTGAACATTAAAATATATTTTTCTACTTAGTGCTATTATATTTAAAATGTGTTCCCATGGGAAAAATTAACCCTAGTGCATAATAAAAATATAATTTATAAATTCCAAAACTCAGTGCAAAGGACACTGAGCAACTATTAAAATGAAATTTATGCAGATTTAATTCTACTACAATAAATGCAAATTTAGTCAAATGGAAAATTAATACATATGATCTTCACATCCCCTACACTGTTAATTTCTGTCTTACTGGGAGTTTTCACTGCTTCTATTGCTTATGCTATTCTTTGAAGTGTTTAGCATAATGCTAACTGAAAGAACCACATGAGGAAGTATTTTCAATGGAGTTTAGAGGAACCAAACTGTTTCTGATTTGCATTCTAATAGTAAAAGCATTACTCTTTCTTTAAATTTGATAATTTTATGTCTATAGATATTTTTGACTTATGATTAATTGATAATTAAGGTGTTCTAGATACTTAATAGAATTCTGAAAACATATGCAGCAACTTGACTGAAATAAAAAGGCATTAGGTCTTACTACATATTTTCATTCTAAGAGAAGCTACTCCTTACAGTAGAGTATATTCTATTGCTGTGAGAGAAATTACAGTACTGGGACCATGCAAGTGAAAACTGAATGGATGTGTGGTAAAAGGATACAACCTGTAATTGTATTTTAGCAACACAGATACCATTTCCTTTAGGAGAGACGTTTTCCTTGCACAAATGAGTTGTTTAAAGATTTTATTATTTGATTGTTGATTTTCTCATTAAAATAATAAAATTTTGGGGATTACAACCAGATAATTTTCTTTTATTTGCCTTCAGAAATATTTAAATGGCAAAAGTTTGGTACTCCAAACCATGAATATCTATTCAACCTGCAATGGATCCACAAGGACAAATCTCTATGAAACATTGAATTTGCTGTCCTGTTAATGGATCCTGAACAATAAATAGGTGGATACAGCACAACTTCTAATGTTTTGTTCAAATCATTTGTCCAGATCTTGCTGTATCCTTAAAATCTAATATATCAATTTTATCTTTGCACCCAGATAATTAGATCTTGATTTACATAGATAACATGTTCAGAAAAGATATGTATATATTTCAAATCAGTAATAGAAATGAGTCCTTATATGAATCTAACTTGCTATGTGGCCATGTAGTTTATTGTCGTAGAGCATCTAATTATTAATAATAATACCCTATCCAATTAAATAATATACAAAGCATTTTTTACTTTTAAAAATATGGTTTTATATAAATATTGTTTGGTATTATAGGCTGTGGAACCTCATTATCTCCACACAAATGTTAATTTGTTAAACAAATCCCCATGGGCAATTCATGGGTTTATTCATTGTTGGTTTACTTATGGTTAAGCCTTTTGGCAAATTCCTATGTGGACACTGTATGACTAGGGTTTGGGGCAGCCTTAATTAAAATTTATAAGTTTATGACAGTTGTATAGAACTGTAATAACTGAACAAAGGAAATGTCACCAGTTAATTAAAAGCACACATCTGAGAGGCATAATTAAAAAATTGAGTGTTTCTTCATTCCTTAAGTTTTTTTTTTTAATAATAGAGAAAGCTAAAAATAAAATATATGAACTATATTCATATAGGAAAGTACTGCAAAATGAAAGTTTGACATTGATTCTATCGACAGGTGTACATATACTTCATTTCTATGACCTACTCATAGGAGGATATTAAGATAAAGTTTGCTTGGGCAAAATAATGGAAATGAGAGTAAAGCACTGAATTACTCTATCATTCTATTATAGAAAATAGAGAATAATTGAGTTTTTCTCATCATGATTATAATGAGGATATTTATGTGATTAACTATATATATTTATAATTAATCTTAACTTTTATAAATATTTATTCTCCAAAGTACGTTGATACTGTTTGGTCTTTTCCTTACACTTAGAGTTCTGTTATTTAGACTTTTAATGTTCATATCAAAATGAAACAAGGTTTTCTTTTTTTTTTAAGATTTTATTTATTTATTTGACAGAGAGAGACACAACAAGAGAGGGAACACAAGCATGGGGAGTGGGAGAGGGAGAAGCAGGCTTCCCGTAGAGCAGGGAACATGATGTGGGCTCTATCCCAGGACCCTGGAATCATGACCTGAGCCAAAGGCAGATGCTTAATGACTGAGCCACGAGCTACCCAGGTGCCCCAAAATAAGGTTTTCTACACAGCTGATTTAGAGTAATAGAGCAAGAGAGTTTATAAATTTGGGACAATATATCCAAATACTCCCATGCATAAAGTTTGGAGTTATGCAGAAGGGAAGGCCACTCTCAATTTAAGGAGTTTGAAAGTGCACAAAAGGAGGACTGCCTAGGAAAAGGAGTGATGGTGCAATTTTTTATAGTAGATAATACATTTATATTGGATGTCTTAAATGAATATAGAAAGTAGAGCACAGAAGCTCTCACTGTTACCCTCTCTGTTACCATATCTATGGACTTTGACAGTGAAAGGTTTTGTCCCCAGAACTAAAATAAGAGGAAAGTGGCCCCCAATGGGGGCAGCAGGAGTGAGGGGGGGATTCTTCTCACTTCTTCTCACTGCAACAGAAAGGGCCTTTATTTTGATTTTTTTCTAAATATTTAATTAATTTATTTATTTGAGAGAGAGTGAGAACATAAGAAGCGGTTCGGGGTGC